TACAACGGTGGCAGCTAGAATTCCGGAGACGACGAACGCCGAAACCTGCCCGAACAAGGGAGAGAGGCAGCCTCGGCCGAAACCGTGACATTGGCAATGTGTGTTTCTCTATTTCATTTAGATATGTATTGAAGCATAGGACTTTTTTGTATACTATACATGATTTAGGAAAATGAAATCACCATATTATGTTTTCCTATCAATTGCCATCTAAACTTCCATCCATTCTAAAACACCTTACAAACACTCCAACCCAACTCCTATTACAACAGTATGCCTTTAACACTTCTAACCCTCAAATTATTCATTATAACATTCTCCATTTGAGTGTGTAGGCTGATGGCGATTCCCACAATTGGCACAGGTTGAGAACAGTTAATGATGCTTCCACATAGAATTGGCTTTCCAGACATATAGATATTTTGTTGGGTTACATTTCCATTTATTGCACATATAGAATATAAACGACATACAGCTACTGTGCATATATACAGTCGTGGTCAAAAGTGTTGAGAATTACACAAGTATTGGTCTTCACAAAGTTCGCTGCTTCGGTGTTATGAGATATTTTTGTCAGATGTTACTATGGTATATTGAAGTATAATTACAAGTATTCCATGAGTGTCAAAGGCTTTTATTGACAATTCCATTTAGTTTATGCAAAGAGTCAATATTTGCAGTGTTGACCCTTCTTTTTCAAGACCTCTGCAATCCGCCCTGGCATGCTGTCAATTAACTTCTGGTCCACATCCTGACTGATGGCAGCCCATTCTTGCATAAGCAATGCTTGTCGATATCTCCTGGCTCAAAGTGGAGGAGAGATTGACTTCATCACTACTTGTGTTTATGAGAGGTGTTGACATATTGGGTGCACCGAGCTGTCTGTTTGAGCTACTGGCGCACAGCTCAGTCACCCATGCATACCCCACAAGACATGCCACCAGAGGTCTCTTCACAGTCCCCAAGTCCAGAACAGACTATGGGAGGCGCACAATACTACATAGAGCCATGACTACATGGAACTCTATTCCACATCAGGTAACTGAAGCAAGCAGTAAAATTAGATTTAAAAAACAGATTAAAAAACACCTTATGGAACAGAGGGGACTGTGAAGCAACACAAACATAGGCGCAGACACATGCATACACACGATAACATATGCACTATACACACACGTACACATGGATTTTTGTACTGTAGATATGTGGTAGTGGTGGAGTAGGGGCCTGAGGGCACACAGTGTGTTGTGAAATCTGTGAATGTATTGTAATGTTTTTAAAATTGTATGAACTGCCTTAATCCATCTGTGGTATATTCAATTGATTGGACATGATTTGGAAAGGCACACACTTGTCTATATAAGGTCCCACAGTTGACAGTGCATGTCAGAGCAAAAACCAACCCATGAGGTTGAAGGAATTGTCCTTAGAGCTCCGAGACAGGATTGTGTCGAGGCACAGATCTGGGGAAGGGTACCAAAAAACTTTCTGCAGTATTGAATGTCCCAAAGAACATAGTGGCCTCCATCATTCTTAAATGGAAGAAGTTTGGAACCACCAAGATCCTTCATACAGCTGGCCGCCCGGTCAAACTGAGCAATCGGGGGAGAAGGGCCTTAGTCAGGGAGGTGAACAATAACCCGATGGTCACTCTGACAGAGCTCCAGAGTTCCTCTGTGGAGATGTGAGAACCTTCCAGAAGGACAACCATCTCTGCAGCACTCCACCCATCAGGCCTTTATGGTAGAGTGGCCAGACAGAAGCCACTCCTCAGTAAAAGGCACATGACAGCCCGCTTGGAGTTTGCCAAAAGGCACCTAAAGACTCTCAGACTGTGAGAAACAAGATTCTCTGGTCTGTGTTGAAAAGTAATAAAGGGGAGTATATATAAAACATGGGGGATTGGAAGTGATGCAGACAATTACATTGATAGAAGATACAATCTATCTACAATATTAAGCTGATCCACCCCCCACCCCCCAAAAAAAAAAAAAAAAAGATTATCTGGTCTGATTAAACCAAAATTGAACTCTTTGGCCTGAATGCCAAGCGTCACGTCTGGAGGAAACCTGGCACCATCCCTATGGTGAAGCATGGTGGTGGCAGTATCATGCTGTGGGGATGTTTTTCAGCAGCACGGACTGTGAGACTAGTCATGATCGAGGCAAAGATGAACGGAGCAAAGTGCAGAGAGGTCCTTGATGAAAACCTGCTCCAGAGCGCTCAGGACCTCAGACTGGGGCGAATGTTCATCTTCCAACAGGACAACGATCGTAAGCACACAGCCAAGACAACGCAGGAGTGGCTTCAGGACAAGTCTCTGAATGTCCTTGAGTGGCCCAGAGAGACTGGACTTGAACCCGATCTAACATCTCTGGAGAGACCTGAAAATAGCTGTGCAGAAACGCTCCCCATCCAACCTGACAGAGCTTGAGAGGATTTGCAGAGAAGAATGGGAGAAACACCCCAAATACAGGTGTGCCAAGCTTGTAGCGTCAGCCAGAGCCTGGACTTGAATCGCTGCTAAAGTACTGAGTAAAGGGTCTGAATACTTATGTAAATGTAATATTTCCATTTTTTATTTTTAATACATTTGCTAAAATGTCTAAAAACCTGTTTTTGCTTTGTCATTATGGGGTATTGTTTGTAGATTTATGAGGGGAATAAACAATTTAATCAATTTTAGAATAAGGCTGTAACCTAACAAAATGTGGAAAAAGTCAAGGGGTCTGAATACTTTCCTGAGGCACTATATATATAACTTCAGTGTAGGTGAAGGGGAGGAGACAGGTTAATGAAGGATTGTTAAACTTGGAGACATGGATTGTATGCGTGACATTCAGAGGGTGAATGGGCAAGACAAAATATTTAAGTGCCTATACAGACTATGTTGTAAACGGTAGGCTATCTGCAAACAAACGAGAACAAGATTGTCCTGATTAGGAAACGAAATGCTTTAAATAGCCTAGATAAACGTGTACTTCTAGCGCCGAGAACCCTAGATGGCGTAGTTCTTCCGTTACGTATTGTATTAGAACAGACGACGTACTTTGGCGAACCTTGGGGCTATCTATAGTAGTACTTCCACGGAGATTACGAGTTTGAGCAAAAATTATTACCATGGTGCTTTTATTATGTGTGAGGTAATGCGATTGCAAGGTCAAAATGTTCCTCAACGATCAGTCCAAATGTATGAAGAACAGCTCCCCACTATTCCAACATGATGCCATATGCGGAGCAATTGATTACCTCTGCCGTTTATTGAATGCCCCCTGCAGAATCAGGGAAACACAGACATAGGGGTGTTTGATAAATTTAGTAGCCTACACCAGCAATATTAACACCGACTTTCACATTATACTTAATATAAGTTGGATATTTAGTTTATATAAGTTAATTATATTTTAAACCCTTGTTGTGCTGAAAATAAGTTGTATACTTTCATTTGAAAACTCCATTAATGCCGCCCTAAAATGCTTTCGAAGTGGAACAGTCCAAGGGTTACAGGAAGTTGTAGCAGCTGCCATGTTTGGCTGCTTTGTTGTAGGTTTCTTGTAGGTTTCCTGCAGATTTTTTTTAGGTGTTGCAATGGAACCGAGCTGGAGTACGTTTCTATTTCAGGTAAGTGAACTTTGATACCCGAAAAGTAAGATAATTGATGGAATAACTGTAGGAAACTAAAGACATTCACGGTCTGACGTTTTTCAAAGGTATACTTTTAAGTAAAGGTATCCAAGCAAAACAATGGTACATCAATCCAGGCTTCCAGCTGAGAGGTTGGGCATGACGTTTGGAAAAATCTGTTCTCTTCTCTCTTTTTCGTATTTTTTTGTATTTCTATTATGATGATGATGGTGGTGGGGGGGGGACATAAAATGAGTTTGTGTGATTATCTAAATAACGTAAAGCTTTGTTTATGTTATCTAAGTTAGCTTGTTAGATCAAAGCCAGCAAACATGATTCATAGATCGATCATTCGCAGGCTCCAAGAACGCCACAGTTACGAGCCAGCCAGTCTTGTTTTTTTCTTTGCCCCGAACCGTTGATCCGTTTTTTTCTGTCTGATGGTGGGACTTTACTTTAGCTAATTGGCTAGCCATTGTTTATAGTCTCCTAAAATAATTGTTCCACAGATCACTAGAAAATGATAAATACTTTCATAATTGACATTTACTTCGTTGCTTTTTCGCAAGTCAGCGTTGAACTTTTTCCTTCCCTCCTCAATGATTCAAAATAGCCAGCTAGGTAGCTAAGTTAGCTCTACTAGCAATTATGTGACTGCGGGTAAAGAAGGAATAAAATATGCACACGAAATAAAAGCAGTGATTTATTTCAGTGTGCGAAATGGAGATTTCAATCCATATAACTATCTCCGTTTTAGCTAGCTAACCATTATATTATGCAACATGGCCAGCTGGTTATAGCTAAGTTAACGTTACTATTTTTGTCTTTGGCCCGCATTCAAGCTAAGTTTCTTTACAGTTTTGCATTACAGCATCACTGCACCAACGAATCAGATTTTGTTGATAAAATTGGACACATTTCTGCTAGCCTATTGGGCCGGGCATTATCAAATATTGTTCCTTGTTTACTTTAATAGCTTTAAATTGTTTTTGCAAGCAGATAAACAAAGGTCTAGCCTACAGTTGTGGTGGAATGATTGTTTGTTTTTCAACAAATTAAGGCCAAGGTAACCTCATGCATCTCAGATTTTATCCATTAGCTGGTTTCTTGTATATTGTCTGATTTGGATCCTTGGGGACCGTTGGAATAAATTATCATCATAGCTAGTCCTTTTTGTGTCAAGATCCACAACCACAAAACTATTCAATCCATTAGGCCTACTCAGAGCTGGGCCTACAATGTTGCAATTCAAGTGATGATGGTTGTGTTTAATTGGGAATATAAATTGTCCTCCTTGTCATAATATTAGTATCACACATGTTTTATACATTATTATATTATAAACGTTCCTTGGAGTTGATCACACTTGTAAAATTATGCCTAGGCCCCCAGCAGGACTGGATCAGTTTAACTGTATCCGTTGGCCCTGCAGCCAGTCTGCAGGAGGTGAAATCGGAGCAGCCTGATTTCATCCCCTCCCTCAAGTGGTACATGGCTCCATCTTGAAAAATAGATTATCTTTCTCTTTTGAATTGGAGCTCAGATTGTTTGAATGACTCAAATTCTTGCTCTACCCGGCAAGCCCTTTTAGCCCTGCTTTCTGCTTTGAAGTGATTGCTGTAATTGTCCCAGGTACAGCTAACTGTGTTCTATTCCCAAAGTATTGGAAATGTGCAGCTGTTGCGGCTAATTGGAGTGGGCCCAGAGCCTGTGTGCAGGGGGCAAGTCGAGGCTAAGTGGCAGTCAGTCACCAAAAACTGCGCACAGTGCAGCGATTTTGCTGAGGGTGGTATGGTGTTGTATGATGCTATTGTGAACAGTCCCTCATTGATCAGTAGGTGTTAGGTAGTGACACATGGGGTGAAAGTTGATGTTAATGCAGCCCTCTTGCTGATTTCTCCCATGCAACTGCTAGTGCCGTGAATCATTGTGTCATGTGATTTTTTCCCCTCATCTTGCGGACAGTGCAGGAAACCAAAATACTGGCTACTTAGCCTAACGTTATTATTACTACCTCAGTTGTCTTGTTGATTCGTTGATCCTACCAGATTATTTCACCCCTATGGAGGAGCACGTTTTTTTTTGTGTTGTCTCAGTGTGGATTTCTTTTAGCCCATCATCAGACTATGAACGACCGTTTAATCAAACGGTAGCAGCTCAGGGCCAGAGGGATCAACCACCTGTCACTACTCAAGAGCAGAAGGAAAAAAATACTTTCATTTTGATTCCCCTTTTATGAGAAAAGTGGTGCTTGACAAAGGCTATTGTGCTCTCTGAGAGAGCTAAAGTACACATAATCCTTCATTACTCATCTGCAACAGTGCAAAATAAGAGGTGCGTCTGTCACTGGATGCCTTGTTCCTGACAGAAAGGCTATGTGACGCTGGCTTCTGCGTCTGTATGACTCACACTAAACGCCTCTCCCCTCTGGAGCCCTCACTCACTCATTGATCCCAAGGATGTTGGCAGCAGATAATGGCCACAACGACCTCTCCTATATGACTCAATCTGTCCCTGGAGTATGATTGAATAGGCTACCACAAGTATTCATTTCATCTAGTTTAGCCTACATCTAGGAGCATTTTTTTGCTACACCTACGTCCTGCAAGTACCAGAGCTGTGAAATACCTCCAGTTAGGCCTATAGCTTATCCCACAGTAGAATGATGGAACTGCCTGAGCAGTGATTCTTCCACATTTAGATAGCCTACTGGGAAAAACCCCAGGCAGGGATGTAATGTTCCAAAAATAACAATGTTAATTTCTGTTTTCAGGACAGACTTGTTAGCTAATCTGACATTGAGAACAGTGGCAAAGCAATACATTTGCACTCAAATTAAGGTTGTTCATCAATGTTCTTCAGATGGCTACAAATTGTTTACTTTTCTAAAAGCTGGGTAGGAAATGAACAACCATGCTACAAAGACTGTCAAAATGTTATTTCCTATTTCACATGTAATTGTTCTTACAGCGAAAAGTAAATAAACCTTTAAATGAATCACTGTTTTCTAGATAATAAAGTCTAAGCCAGTTACAGATCAGTAGTGTTGTTAGTGTCTTTTCAGAATTGCTTATTCTCCCTGCCTTCCATTTTGATGTTATTTGCGTTGGAGTGACCCCAGCCTTCAGAGCACATTTGTATCAAAATGGTAAGAGCAGCGTGAATGCGCTGCAGGTCCTGAACGTCTTTCTTGGGGCCAGGTTGTCTGCAGCAGCAGTGGCTGTGTCTGCTGCTGTCTGCAGTGTACATCCCCCCCCCTCCTCCTCTCTGGACCAGCAGGTCCTGTTCAGACAGACCGAGAGAGGGCTAGAAAATTATGATATTGATGACTAATCCTGGAAGGTAGCGAGCGTGAGCAGGTGCGCAGACAATGCGGGCAGGTGGGCGCGGTGGCGTTCTCCCTGAGTTCCCAGGTCCCCCTGGGTCTGAGAGCGCAGCGACTCATCTGGGCTGAGTCGTGTGTGTGTGTGTGTGTGTGTGTGTGTGTGTGTGTGTGTGTGTGTGTGGAGAAATGCAGACCCTGTCCCATGAATAGAGGAGCCAAATCAGCGACGATGCGCTTACAAAGACCTCTTGTTGAGCACAGAGTGCATCACTGGCCAGATTTGTCTTCCACAATAGGGCAGATGAAATAAGGAGGAGAATGTGGGATTTATTTTTATTTTCTCCTCTGTCCCCCCCTCCTCCAACCCCCCCCCCTCGTCTGTTCCTGGTGGGTGGATGGATGGATGGCTGAACGTGAAAGGGAAGGGTCAGGTATTTGACCTTGCCCTTTCGTGCTTGCGGAAGAGAACGCAGTTGTCTTAATTGCAGCATCCCCCTTTTCATTTCAGTTGGTCACTGTGAGGATGTGTGTGTTTGTTTGTCTCCAGTTGTTATTTTTCATTTGATGAAATGGCCATGTTTCTATTAACTCAATAAAGTGTCCACACCAAAAAGACCCAGATGAGAAGACTTTGCCTCTCCATCCTACTCTATTATGCCTGCCTTTGGTCTCAGATGGAAACGGTCAGTGTGACCTGACCAATATGAATGCACATTTTTGTAGGACCTGGCAGCAGTTTTTACTGGATAAAGTTTTTTCTCTCGGATGTCAATATATTTGAGTAGCCCCCAAGCTGGGCTCTGAAGCTGATGAATGACAATCAAGTGTTAGGCTAGCCTACATGTTAGTGATGGGGGGGATCGATACAGTTACAAATCGCATAATTATTTTGGGCCGATATTATGTTGATATTTGACTCCCAATTATTGTTTTGTGTAAAAAAATAAAATCAACAAGTTAGCACCAGAAAGACCGTATTTTTCATCCTATAGCTTATTCTCTCTTCTTTTTAAATAGTGAGCCAACATGTTTTCAGCACTTATTTCCTTGACTGATCAAAACTCGTATTCTCATGCTTTCTCTTGTCTCTCTGAAGCAGACATATAGTGAGCAATATGTTTGGAACCTCAAATTGCAATAAAATGTCAGTATCGAATCGCAGTCGCGAGAATCGCAATACATAATTGTATCGGCACCTAAGTATTGTGATAATATGGTATCGTGAGGTCCCTAGCAATTCCCAGACCTACTAAATGTAACGGTCACTATTTGTGGGGTCCCCCCCGCCCAATTTAAGAAGCTCCATTGAACAGCAATAATGACCCCTAACAGGCATGCTTGGCTCTCTTTGTGCACAGCAGCTCTAGTGCCATTCTGCCTATTTATGTTCTAGAGCTGGATATTAAATCCACCCAGCCAGGCCTATCAGCTCTGCAGACGTCACACTGGCTACCGTCACATGACTTTTAGAACTACACAAGACGACAATACATTGACCTACATTCTGCATAATTTAATGATAGATCACCAGAGGGTCATATTTCTCATAATAACCTAGTATATTTAGCTAGATAAATGTGTTAAATTATGATAAACATGATTAGTTGTTTTCCATGACATTGTGGGTCTGTAAGCACACACAGTGCCGTCAGTCGGAGGATCCCCAGTCACATCCTTTTCCTAAAAACATCCCCGTCTGGTGTGTCTGTGCTCTCTTAAAGTGTAGTGCAAAGCCCTGATCTAGAGGGCTGTTTAGTCTGCGCTGAAGCCAAGGAGGAGACAGGCAGACAACGTATTCCAGCACTGCGTGTGATTATTTATTAATGTCAGTCGGGTAGCTTCCCGCTTTGACGTCACTAACCTTCTCCCACAGCGGGGGACCTCTGCTCTGCCTGCTGTGCAGCACAACTATGTACTATTTTCACTGAAACTGAGTGATTTAGCAGCAGCACATTAAGGCCTCTCCCCTCTCTGCCAGCTCCTCTTTAATTGGGCTGCTTTGGGTGGTGGCTGGATGTGGTTCTCTATGCGGATGGTAGGTTTCCCTTAGTGTATTTGATGTAATATGGCAGAGATTCACCACTGTGGTTAGACAGGGAGGCATCCTGTGGCTCTCGCTCGTACCTGGTGGCTCTCCTCTGTTTCCTGATGTGTGGCTATGGAGACGGGGCTTGTGGCTTGACCTGCACAGCCCCAGAGCCCACGCAGTCACACCACTGAGGAAGATAGTGGGTGGACTGTGTCTAACAAACACATTTCTGTTAATTCTATATATATTTTTCATGTTTAACGGACACATTTGGAATGAAGTCCATTGTAATGTTGTGCTACTAGCTAACCAGGGGAGCACCTTGTCTGGTTTGGTTTAGCTGAGCTCATGCCCAGGCTGCTGCTGGAGGCACTGAGCTGGATTCTTCCCAGCCTGCCTACTTTTGCACACATGACGAATGAGCACCATCATGGCGGGGGATCATTTTTCATATAGCAAATTTAGATTCCTCAGCAGCAGCAGGCTGTTTGTGTGCCTCCTCACTAATGACCGAGCCAGGGCCTATTTTTGTCCCTGTAAAACACCCACAGTCACTGACCCTGCTTTTTTTGCGTGATTTGTCAAATGGATGCCCCAAACGTCAAAACTGTGGCTCGGTACAAAGATTATTCTTTATATGGGACTTGGAAGTCAATAGAGCATAGCATCTACTTGCAGTGAAGGGCTTTAGCAAATGATCTTCCCAGTCAGTGTGGTTTTAGACTAAAGGGTTGTTGTGATGATTATCTGGCTGAATGTTTCTGATTGAATGTTTTCAGATCTTCCAGTACATTTCCTCCGGTTGTCTTTGTTGTGTTGTTCGGCTGTCTCTCTTGCATGTCATTAGTCATTCAGCAGAGGGGAGGAAGTGCTGACTAGTGCCCCCGCTGATATACTTTCAGACTGCTCTGTTCTGGCCCCTGTGGTCTACTCTGCCACGCATGCGCCCAGAATGACTCACTGTCTATTTCGGTGTGGCTTCAGACGCAGTGGCTTTTGCCTCGCAATCACACCGGCAGCCAGCCACACTTTCACTCTCCAACTCTTTGCATCGTCAATTCAGCAGAAGAGCTGTGAAATCACTTCAGAAAGGGCACCGCACAGAGCCAGTGTTAAATCTCCATGTGTTGTGTAAACACATGTAACTACTAGGCCCAAGGCTAAAAGCTCAGACACAACGGTAGGATTGTCAAACGTTTGCCTGCCTACAGTACTTATCACATCTGAACAGAGTGTTGGCAGTCAATCTCTTTTGTGTTCACACCGCAAAAACCTTGGAAGTTGTCAGCCTTGTTTAAAATACTCCAAACCAGAAGGTGGCAGTAGCGTTGGCAATGCATAGCCGTGCGCATTGCTTATGGTCTAGATTCCAAGCTATCTGCGCTAATGTTGCTATTTTGTAGAAAGCCCTTGTTGATACTAGCCAGATGGCCACAGCTAGATAACTACCTAGCAAAATGAAGAAGAATAAACTATTTAATTCACTCTACATAATCCCATACTGACAGTGCTAGCCCATAGACAATGGTTTAGCTAGCTAGCTAATGTTAGCATATTCGCTAGCTAGCACAACAGTGCAGTGTCCTTAGCTAGCTAGCTATCTCGGCAGCTAACACAGGCAGCTGCTTCATGGAAACTAGCTAATCCATTGTGATTTAATTACAGTGAGGGAAAAAAGTATTTGATCCCCTGCTGATTTTGTACGTTTGCCCACTGACAAAGACATGATCAGTCTATACTTTTAATGGTAGGTTTATTTGAACAGTGAGAGACAGAATAACAACAAAAAAATCTAGAAAAACGCAATTGATTTGCATTTTAATGAGGGAAATAAGTATTTGACCCCTCTGCAAAACATGACTTAGTACTTGGTGGCAAAACCCTTTTTGGCAATCAGAGGTCAGACGTTTCTTGTAGTTGGCCACCAGGTTTGCACACATCTCAGGAGGGATTTTGTTCCAGTCCTCTTTGCAGATCTTCTCCAAGTCATTAAGGTTTCGAGGCTGACGTTTGGCAATTCAAACCTTCAGCTCCCTCCACAGATTTTCTATGGGATTAAGGTCTGGAGACTGGCTAGGCCACTCCAGGACATTAATGTGCTTCTTCTTGAGCCACTCCTTTGTTGCCTTGGCCGTGCGTTTTGGGTCATTGTCATGCTGGAATACCCATCCACGACCCATTTTCAATGCCCTGGCTGAGGGAAGGAGGTACTCACCCAAGATTTGACGGTACATGGCCCCATCCATCGTCCCTTTGATGCGGTGAAGTTGTCCTGTCCCCTTAGCAGAAAAACACCCCAAGCATAATGTTTCCACCTCCATGTTTGACGGTGGGGATGGTGTTCTTGGGGTCATAGGCAGCATTCCTCCTCCTCCAAACACGGCGAGTTGAGTTGATGCCAAAGAGCTCGATTTTGGTCTCATCTGACCACTACACTTTCACCCAGTTCTCCTCTGAATCATTCAGATGTTCATTGGCAAACTTCAGACGGGCCTGTATATGTGCTTTCTTGAGCAGGGGGACCCTGCGTGCACTGCAGGATTTCAGTCCTTCACGGCGTAGTGTGTTACCAATTGTTTTCTTGGTGACTATGGTACCAGCTGCCTTGAGATCATTAACAAGATCCTCCCGTGTAGTTCTGGGCTGATTCCTCACCGTTCTCATGATCATTGCAACTCCACAAGGTGAGATCTTGCATGGAGCCCCAGGCTGAGGGAGATTGACAGTTATTTTGTGTTTCTTCCATTTGCAAATAATCGCACCAACTGTTGTCACCTTCTCACAAAGCTGCTTGGCGATGGTCTTGTAGCCCATTCCAGCCATGTGTAGGTCTACAATCTTGTCCCTGACATCCTTGGAGAGCTCTTTGGTCTTGGCCATGGTGGAGAGTTTGGAATCTGATTGATTGATTGCTTCTGTGGAAAGGTGTCTTTTATACAGGTAACAAGCTGAGATTAGGAGCATTTCCTTTAAGAGTGTGCTCCTAATCTCAGCTCGTTACCTGTATAAAAGACACCTGGGAGCCAGAAATCTTTCTGATTGATAGGGGGTCAAATACTTATTTCCCTCAATAAAATGCAAATCAATTTATAACATTTTTGACATGCGTTTTTCTGGATTTTTTGTTGTTGTTATTCTGTCTCTCACTGTTCAAATAAACCTACCATTAAAATTATAGACTGATCATTTCTTTGTCAGTGGGCAAACGTACAAAATCAGCAGGGGATCAAATACTTTTTTCCCTCACTGTATAATGTCAATACTAGCTAGCTACAGTGGTTAGCTAGCTTGGAGGAAGTATTTGGTGTTGTGTACTTAGCTAGCTACCATCCCATAGCCTACATTGCATATGAAGTGTGACTGGCTCATCTGTGGATGTACGGAGGTGCACTGACGAGCATTGCGATTCTACAAGTAGAATCAGTAGGTTCGTCGCTACCGTGTCGGCACGCAGCAGGTATCGCTTTTGTCCTATCCAGAGAAGGAACGGCCTCCCACTGTGATAAGTACCTATCGGCAGTCTATTGGCAGTGAGATTCTTGGTGTGTTTCATGCTTGAGGCGGACAAGTCACCAAAGCAAAGCCTTCCTAGCAGCACTGGAGCATTTTAAGATGTGGCCTGTGAATGGCAGTGAGATTAAGCTGTTCCCAATAGGCCTAGTTGTTGCATGTGAATGGCTCCCAGATTAGGCTATTCCCAGTAGGCCGTGTGAGCCAGTAAAACAACACAAAGAGAGACTAATGCTAAATTAATTTCCTCCCAAACTATTTTCTCACTGCAAGAGTGGTTATATAAAGGAGGAATGTGAAGACGTAGGCTAATCTACAAAAAGTGCCGGGTTACATAAAGGAGAAAGGCAGAGCTACAAGGATGTGAGGTGAATTTGGCTGTGTTGAGTAACACAAACAACCTGACCTTTCAGTGCTCTGTCTCTTATAACTAACCTGTAGCAGGCAGAGTGAGGCAGGCTCATGGTAGTCTCAACCTATAGTTCTACCCTGTCGGTTCCAACAGGAAGTCCACCTGCTACAAAGACAGTCAGGTGGTGTAATATTGTCTTGTATGAGAGTTGACCAGTGTTGTTCACCTACAGTGCATTCGGAATGTATTCAGACCCCTTCCCTTTTTCCACATTTTGATACGTTACAGCCTTATTCTAAAATGTATTAAATTAATCTACACACAATACCCCTTAATGACAAAGCGAAAACAGGTTTTTAGAAATGTTAGCAAATAAAATAAAAAACAGAATTGCCTTATTTACATAAGTATTCAGACCCTTTGCTATGAGACTCGAAATTGAGCTCAGGTGCATCCTGTTTCCATTGATCATCCATGAGATGTTTCTACAACTTGATTGGAGGCCACCTGTGGTAAATTCAATTGATTGGACATAATTTGGAAAGGCACACACCTGTCTATATAAGGTCCCACAGTTGACAGTGCATGTCAGAGCAAAAACCAAGCCATGAGGTCGAAGGAATTGTCCGTAGAGCTCTGAGAAAAGATTGTCGAGGCACAGATCTGGGGAAGAGTACCAAAACATTTCTGCAGCATTGAAGGTCCCCAAGAACACAGTGACCTCCATCATTCTTAAATGGAAGAAGTTTGAAACCACCAAGACTCTTCCTAGAGGTGGCCGCCCGGCCAAACTGCGTACTCGGGGGAGAAGGGCCTTGGTCAGGGAAGTGACCAAGAACCTGATGGTCACTCTGACAGAGCTCCAGAGTTCCTCTGTGGAGATGGGAGAACCTTCCAGAAGGACAACTATCTCTGCTGCACTCCACCAATCAGGCCTTTATGGTAGTAGCCAGACGGAAGCCACTCCTCATTTTAAAGGCACATGACAGCCCACTTGGAGTTTGCCAAAAGGCACCTAAAGGATTCTCAGACCATGAGAAACAAGATTCTCTGGTCTGATGAAACTAAGATTGAACTCTTTGGCCTGAATGCCAAGCGTCACGTCTGGAGGAAACCTGGCACCATACCTACGGTGAAGCATAGTGGTGGCAGCATCATGCTGTGGAGATGTCTTTTAGCGGCAGAGACTGGGAGACTAGTCAGGATCGAGGGAAAATGAACGGAGCAAAGTACAGAGAGATCCTTGATGAAAACCTGCTCCAGAGCGCTGAGGACCTCAGACTGGGGCGACGGTTCCCATTCCAACAGGACAACGACCCTAAGCACACAGCCAAGACAACGCAGGAGTGGCTTCAGGACAAGTCTCTCAATGTGCTTGAGTGGCCCAGCCAGAGCCCGGACTTGAACCCGATCAAACATCTCTGGAGAGACCTGAAAATAGCTGCAGAGAAGAATGGGAGAAACTCCCCAAATACAGGCGTGCCAAGCTTGTAGCGTCATACCCAAGAAGACTTGAGGCTGTAATCGCTGCCAAAGGTGCTTCAACAAAGTCCTGAGTGAAGGGTCTGAACACTCATGTAAATGTGATATTTCAGTTTTTTGTTTTTAATAAATTTGCAAACATTTCTAAAAACCTGTTTTTGCTTTGTCATTATGGGGTATTGTGTGTAGATTGATAAAAAAATAAAATCAATTTTAGAATAAGGCTGTTACATAACAAAATGTGGACAGTCAAGGGGTCTGAATCCTTTCCGAATGCACTGTATGTTGTTGACTAGTGTTTAAACGTGCTGTTCTGTGTCTCTACAGCAGGCCAATGAAGCCCTCCACCACCAGCACCAGGTGGCCCAGAACAGCCTGCTGCCGCTGCTCAACTCTGGGAACGAGCCTGTGGACCAGAAGCCTGTGATGCCCATCCCCCTGGACCAGAAACCCCCCGCCAGCGCAGCCGAGCTTCTCAAAGACAACGTGGCCAGCGGGGCAGGCGGCGGCAGGGGACCCATGCCTGTGGTGAAGAAGGAGCACAAGAGCAAGACACCCTTCATCTGCGGCTACTGCAACAAGGCCTTCCGTGACAGCTACCACCTGCGGCGCCATGAGTCCTGCCACACGGGCATCAAGATGGTGTCACGGCCCAAGAAGACGGCCCAGACAGCCCCCACCATGGTGCCCTTCATCTCCAGCCTGCCCAGGGAGAACAGCGGGCAGCCCTCCTACATCTCCACCATAGCAGGCATCCTCACCACTGCCACCACCTCTGTGTCCTCAGCCTCCAGCATCATGTCTCCAGCCTCTATGATCAATGTGCCCCAGCAGAGCCAGCCCAAGAAGCCTGCCAAGCCTGTGAAGAAGAACCATGGCTGTGAGATGTGTGGCAAGGCCTTCCGAGACGTCTACCACCTGAACCGTCACAAGCTGTCCCACTCGGACGAGAAGCCCTTCCAGTGCCCCATCTGCCAGCAGCGCTTCAAGAGGAAGGACCGCATGACCTACCACGTGCGCTCTCACGACGGTGGAGTCCACAAGCCCTACGTCTGCTCCGTGTGTGGGAAAGGCTTCTCCAGGTAGGCTCCAGGCCCAGCCATGCACCTTCACTAACCCTGGCTAGCTGTTTTACATTTCAAATAAAAGTGCTTGCTATTTATTGCAAACTCATTTGAACTCAAACATCAACCAGTTTTGATCCTGTTAATACATGGTGATTAGTCTACAATTTCTATATGGTGTTAGATGAGCACTTATAGAGATGCACTGAGATAGAGTACAGTGGGGAAAAAAAGTATTTAGTCAGCCACCAATTGTGCAAGTTCTCCTTTTACACTTACAAAGATGAGAGAGGCCTGTAATTTTCATCATAGGTACACGTCAACTATGACAGACAAATTTCAGACAGGATTTTTAATGAATTTATTTGCAAATTATGGTGGAAAACAAGATTTCTGGCTCTCACAGACCTGTAACTTCTTCTTTGAGAGGCTCCTCTGTCCTCCACTCGTTACCTGTATTAATGGCACCTGTTTGAACTTGTTATCAGTATAAAAGACACCTGTCCACAACCTCAAACAGTCACACTCCAAACTCCACTATGGCCAAGACCAAAGAGCTGTCAAAGGACACCAGAAACAAAATTGTAGACCTGCACCAGGCTGGGAAGACTGAATCTGCAATAGGTAAGCAGCTTGGTTTGAAGAAATCAACTGTGGGAGCAATTATTAGGAAATGGAAGACATACAAGACCACTGATAATCTCCCTCGATCTGGGGCTCCACGCAACATCTCACTCCGTGGGGTCAAAATGATCACAAGAACGGTGAGCAAAAATCCCAGAACTACACGGGGGGACCTAGTGAATGACCTGCAGAGAGCTGGGACCAAAGTAACAAAGCCTACCATCAGTAACACACTACGCCGCCAGGGACTCCAATCCTGCAGTACCAGACGTGTCCCCCTGCTTAAGCCAGTACATGTCCAGGCACGTCTGAAGTTTGCTAGAGTGCATTTGGATGATCCAGAAGAGGATTGGGAGAATGTCATATGGTCAGATGAAACCAAAATAGAACTTTTTGGTAAAAACTCAACTTGTCGTGTTTGGAGGACAAAGAATGCTGAGTTGCATCCAAATAACACCATACCTGCTGTGAAGCATGGGGGTGGAAACATCATGCTTTGGGGCTGTTTTTCTGCAAAGGGACCAGGACGACTGATCCGTGTAAAGAAAAGAATGAATGGGGCCATGTATCGTGAGATTTTGAGTGAAAACCTCCTTCCATCAGCAAGGGCATTGAAGATGAAATGTGGCTGGGTCTTTCAGCATGACAATGATCCCAAACACACCGCCCGGGCAACGAAGGAGTGGCTTCGTAAGAAGCATTTCAAGGTCCTGGAGTGGCCTAGCCAGTCTCCAGATCTCAACCCCATAGAAAATCTTTGGAGGGAGTTGAAAGTCCGTGTTGCCCAGCGACAGCCCCAAAACATCACTGCTCTAGAGGAGATCTGCATGGAGGAATGGGCCAAAATACCAGCAACAGTGTGTGAAAACCTTGTGAAGACTTACAGAAAACGTTTGACCTGTGTCATTGCCAACAAAGGGTATATAACAAAGTATTGAGAAACTTTTGTTATTGACCAAATACTTATTTTCCACCATAATTTGCAAATAAATTCATTAAAAATCCTACAATGTGATTTTCTGGAATTTTTTTTCTCATTTTGTCTGTCATAGTTGACGTGTACCTATGATGAAAATTACAGGCCTCTCTCATCTTTTTAAGTGGGAGAACTTGCACAATTGGTGGCTGACTAAATACTTTTTTCCCCCACTGTATATGACCATCTGTTGTTCAATGTGACATTCTACATGTCCCATTGGCTGCTGCCCTCAGGCTCACGGATTTATAGTAGTGTTGAATAGTCTTGACTCAGTGCCTTTGTGGTCCCCAGCATGTTTAAACAGTCTCGCTTTTAGAGAGCAGTTCATCTTCAGTGTCCCAGAGTTCCCTCTTGCGGGAACAGGGAGAGGAGTAGGGAGGGGGGAGGCTGTGGTTCCTGCCAGCTTGTCACTGCTTCCCCTTCCCCAGGGAATGCCATTAGAACAGGCCTGGGAGGGAGGCAGCAGCCTGGGATTTCCTCTTACTCACACCTAGTTTTCCCACTCTGCTTCTGTGCTGCTACTTACAGGGTCCTGTTTGTTTAAAGTCTGAGCCACCTGGAATGACTGAGCATTCCTGTCTTTCCAGGCAGAGCCAACAGTGGCCTTGTAAGATGGCCTCTTTCAACATTTACGGCAACATCCACTCACTACTTCCAGCTATGCGTCACTAGTAATCTGTGCAATTCATTGGCATGAGTAATGGCAAGATTACAAATAACCATTTAAAACCCTTCCAATAAGCAAAGGGCTCTTACAGCTTGTTAGTTGTTCAAATAAGAGCAGAAGCTTGGTGTGAGTGAATATTCCAGTGGCTCAAACTGATGTAAACATTATGCTCTCTGTCCAAACTATAATCTCAGAGCTGGGCAATTAAGGGCAGAACCCGGCTTTGTTCCAACACAGTGACGCAGAGGTTTATCGGGACATTGTAAAGTGAGAGGCCGGCTTGCAGAATAACGCAACTCTGAGTCACTGCCAAGTCTGCAGGCACTCTCTCTGTCTGTCTGGAAGCTGCTGTCCTCCTCAGTTAACAGTGAAACGAGGAGAAGAACAGCCATTCCGGTTCACAGCACACCTGAAAATATTATAATTGACTCCTCTCCTTTGTAACAAAACCACTACCAGTGTGAAACTGTTTTGCTCTGGCCAAGCTGCCCGTGTTAGTTCTTCACACCATCACCAGTGATGAAATGATTTAGCTCCCAGCCTGTCTGCTGTAGTCCAGGTTTTCAGTCGAACTAACTAATGGTACCTCTGGGAGCTGCGATGAGTGGACTGTGTGAACATTTGAGTCTCACTGGAAAAGGTCTAAAGTACAGTGTGTGTTGTGTGTCCATTAATATTCTACAGCAAGATTGTAACTTTTCTTCTCTTCTCTCCTCCAGACCAGACCACTTGAGCTGCCACGTGAAGCATGTCCACTCCTCAGAAAGACCGTTCAAATGCCAAGTAACGGTAAGAGAGATAGAACTGTACTGTGTGGCCTCATTAGGGCCACTTGTCAGCAGCTCATTATTGACAACTTGAGCTGCATGTCTGTCGGCTAGCATAAATTCTCCCACTTTGCACTTTCCTTTCTGCCGTCTCGGACAGTAATTGTTAGTTTCCTATGCTAGACTAGTGTCTTTTTAAAATGAGCCCATTAGTCATAGCGTTGTAATGGCAGTCTGTCCACGACACCACACTCCAGTATGCCCTGTGGCCCCAGTAGAGATTTATGATGATCTATAAGCCTTTAAAGTTGGACATGTTCCATCCAGGCTGCACTTGGCACCGAGCTGGAGCACAAAGCTGGGTGGCCCTATGAATAGTAGTGTGCCTCTGGCCTTCTGACCCTGTCCTGTCCTCTCCAGGCCTGTACTTCTGCCTTCGCCACCAAAGACAGACTGCGCTCCCACATGATCCGGCATGAAGGAAAGGTCACCTGCAACATCTGCGGCAAGATGCTGAGCGCAGCCTACATCACCAGCCATCTAAAGACACACGGCCAGACCAACTTTAACTCCTGTAACAAAGGTACGTCAGTCCTATCTCACCAACCACTGCCTCCCTCTCAACTTAAATGAAATCTTGTCAGGTTTGACATTCCTAATTTAAAAAGTCAGAAACCAGTTTAAAATGACAACTTTTGAAACCCTTTTAAGTAAGTAATCTTAATTTGTTTGTACACACTTTGAACGTTCACACACCTCAACCCATAGCTGACATTTTCCTAGAAATTGTATTTTACTCCATACCAAGACAGTGTGCCAGAGGCCAGTGTCTGGGATAACCTCACATGACAGTGAAAATATCATTTGATTGATTGATGCCGACTTTATCCTTAGGCAGGTTTCATTCTCTGTGTAGTTATAGTAGCGCTACAGGACATGGAAAGTCCCACCGTACATTGTCCATGATAGGCATTACCATGTAATCTTCGCTGGTTACATTTTGCCCCAATTCCCTCGAGTACCATTCTGTTTTTAAACATGAATTGGATGTTAGTCTGTTGAGTGGAGGGATGTATATGCTGTGCTATGTGATTTTTTTTGTGGGTCTTCTGCTTGTGGTATGTAATCTGATGACATGTATTCTCGTTGACAAGTGAATGGCCTGTGGCAGAAATCTGTTGTCATGTTCTAAATTTGAAGCGCTTTCAGCAATTGGCTCGTGTTTGAGGGAAGTGTAACATGCACAATGATATCTGATCCAACCACAGCAAACTTACAGCTTCTCCACTCAATTGATTTGTGCAGCTTGCATGATAACCCCACCCCCCTCTTCTAATTTTCTCAGAGTATTGCTCTTCCATTAGTCTTTCTCATTAGTGTTATTGATATATATTTGTTGGTATGGACTCGAGATTACTTTGTATTACTGCTCAGTAAATAATTCAGAAAAATCACTGGCACCGTAACCGTTTAAATATACTACAAGTGTATAATACGTAACATGGCTGTCAAGTACAGCCCAATAACTGGTTTCTTCCTCAGTCTTCGTGCTATTACTGTGTCTGTTTTTCCTGTTTTGTTTATTCATCTGTGAATTTCCATTTGTGAAAGTGCTGTATTTAAGTTTTGGTGATTCAGGCCTTAGTCAACGTGTTTGTTTGTGATTTTCCTGTGGAACGTGTACACCCTGTTCATCTCTTCCCATCCGGAGAACACTGCATCATAACGCATTACACATGGATCACTGCTCAGAGGTGTAGTCAATAACAAAGTATAGCCTAGCTCAGGCCACCTAATCAACATTTCTAAGATTCCTCTTTCAGTTACACATAGACAGTAGAAGCAACAAGGGAAAGACGTTCACTGCTATGTTGTGTATTCACTCCGCATTAGCTGCCACCTGAATGAGCACTGCCACCCTTCTCCCAAGGGTCCACAGCACAAGGCAGCCATACAGCACAGAGAACACTACAAATAGGATATTATTTGTCACCACAGTAAGCGTATGGCCCGTTCCCTCCTCCCCCTGGGGACTAGCAAGCCAGGGTGTGTGTACCCACCTTGCCCACCTGAAGTGGGGCCTGTAGAGTGCACTGAGAGAGATGCAGACAGTCCATTATAACCCCTGTGTGTCTATATTTCTGAATAGGGGACTGGCAGTGGAACTCCTCAGGGGGACGAAAAGGTAATGACAACGTAGCATCGCGTGAACCTAACCCCAACCCCCCTGCCCGCCCCCCAAGAATACACAGTCACATCACACACATACACAAGTAAAAGGCAAGGATAAATACAAGACTTTAGGCCTTTGGTAAACTCAGGCCAGTGTGTCACTTCATTTCCAAACATTGCATCATCATTGCATCCCTGGAAATGTTGTCTTGGAGATTTCTGTGTTCTCATTTTTAAACTGTTGTACTATACTATGTACAGCAAGAATGACCACTAGAGTGTTTTGTACTGTTTTGCCTATACATAATTACCTGCTTCGGTATTCATGTTTTAGAAGAGCATGTATTTGCCGCATTTAAAATGGGAAATGGTTGTTAATATAAAGGTTAATATAGTTCAGTCAGTGTGCTGCAGATGAGTCAAGGCAGTAGCAGTAAAGATGGAGAGGAATGCTGACTGCATATACTGCAAAAATTATCTCTGGACTATTTCGCATACATTTGAGTGTGGAGATATTTTTTTGCAGTGTATGGACAGCATTCCTCCCTCTGCTTAATGATGGAGAATAACCAGTAACTATCAGTGTGTACATGTATTTGTTTGATTGGTTTAGCAGTGAAGGAAGGGACACCATCTTTAACACTATCCTCTATCCCCTGTTCTCTAGATAGTAATGACATTCACAACTCTGCCTCAGCCACACCTGTAACAGCCTCTGCCCCCATCACCACCACGATGAACCGGGGCAACTCCATCAACAACCCTGTCACCATAGCGGCGCAAATGAACATTTCCACCAATACGGTTAACGTCAGCCTCCAGCACCCAGTCACCATCACTGGGCCCGTCAACATCGCCTCGGTCAACATCCCTACCACGGCACACATGAATATCGCCCACCCTCTGGCCATCAGCACCCCCATGTCCATGACAATGTCCGGGCCGCTCAACATCGCCATGAGGTCCATGGAGAGTATGTCTTTTCTGTCCCAAGTCCTGCCTTCGTCCCCACCCTGGTAAAAACAAAACGAGATGGAGAGAAAAGAAAGGGAAAAATGAAGCAAAACAAGAAAAGACGACTCCTCCCCATTACCACCATCTTTCCCCAGCCCGCTGGCCCCTGACCCCGTGCCCCTTCCTCAGACCTGGAAATGAACGTTTAGCCTACTTGTGCCGTGCAGTGGAGAGTACTTCCCTGTCACATGGCTCCACCCCAACCAATGTTACATCACAGAAGAGAGAACCAGAACAGTTGTGTAGAAGTTAGATAGGGTTTTGTCTATTATCTGAAGGACTTCAAACCTAGATGTAGTGAGTCGATAAAGTGTTAAACAGTGATGTCAACATTACAGTCGGGGTAGGATAACAAGAGGGGAGGACTCTCAAGCCTCGCTTAAACACCCATACCTTTGCAATGGAGAAAAATAAAAAAAAATGGAAAAGGACTAATGCAATAAGTATGAATTGTTGGTTTTATTGTTCCACAAGTTATCTTGCAAAGACAATGGGTGTTTCTTATGTTGTTTTATCTATAGCCTGCTAATCAGTATTTAATGTTTTTAGGAGATGAGTTCAACAAAAGGGACAAAGACTTCCATTTGGACGGAAGGTTATTCTTTTTTTCACATCTGTGTTTTTCAAATAGGATGTATGCTCTTGAGGTACATTGACTAACTTGTACAGTTTTCATGTTAATGTATTATCACCATCAACAATTTATTCTGTATTCTTTTGTTGAAGTGGATATCTGGACATTGTCCCTGTTGTCTGTTAAATATGTGTACAATTAGGATAGTTTTTTTCTCTTTATTAGGGATGGCAGAGGTGCGCTTCTTTTATTTGGTGATCAGTTGATGTCAATTGTTTTACATGAACTGAGAAAGGAATGAGTCTTGCACTGAAAGCATATCCCATGTGTAACTAAACAGCAGTATTATCAAAGATCAAATTAGTGTTAGGTAACCAGCCTACATAATAACATGGCCATCTAGTGGCTTACAAATGCCATTGAGGGAATGGTCCTGAAGTTCACCAATGTTTTATTTCTTAAACTATTATTATTATTATTATGTTGGTGACGGATTAGTTTTGTTAGAAATATTTTATAACCTTTTATCATTTTGTTTTTAGGACCTCAATAGTTTGGACCTTCTGCTCAGGAAACTCACTGAGAGTAGCCCAGTCAACTTCATTTTGTTTTAATTGAATTCATGTCTAACTTAATCCTGGTCTTTCCCATGTTACTTTGTAATATTTAAATCACCATATATCTTTGTTTGTTCAAAGAAAAAAGTAGAAGTCCTTCAAAGACTAGGGATCCAAGAACTCTTATTTTTGTCAACATAGCTGACCATTTTAATAATCATGTAATCAATTTCAGTCTCCGCCTGTGTCATGGTGACTTATGGATTAGAGGAAGGATGAGGTGATTGATGTATTGAGAACAAAACACTAATGATTTCTGAGAAGGGTATGAAAATAATGAACTACTAGATCATGTTGTAGTGTTGCTGCAGCCGAAGGGAGGCCAGGATCTAGGCTAGTGGGGCTAGCATGTCCTGGGCAGCACATCTCAGACATTATGGCTGTTAAGTCCCATAGATTACCATTACTAGATAAGAAGTTCTTACTTGGCCAAACCTAAGGATGTTCTATCTAACAGTTTTCTTTGGTGAATGCAATATCACCATTGCAAGGTTTTGTGCTGTGTGAGGTATAGTATACTCTGTCCTGAAAGAACACACACAAGATGCATGTGAGTTGTATTTTCCCCTGAGTTTTTTCAAAGAAAGTCCAATGATGTGTTTTCTTATGCATTGTGTAGATGCACTGTAATTGCCTATTCTGCTTGCCAAATTTTATACAATTATGAGATGCAACTAAGTGAATATTTTGAATTGAACGTTTCAGCATTTGTAACAAAAATAAAAACTGATTTGGAAATTATTGGGACACCTGTGAAGGCAGTTGAATGTATATCTTTGTACAAAACAATTTTAGTTCTGAGGATGTGGTAGTTAAAATACTAGACATGTGAAAGAACCTTTTATAAATCTTTTGTATTAGAACATTAACAGCGGTAATTTTGTATATATGAAGACTTTCTGATTAGCAGAAAGGTAAAACATTCCTACATTTTTTAAATGTATGTTTGTCAAATTATTACGTAAACATGCGCAATGTTTTATTTGCCTTCTATTTGGGTTGTCTAAATAAAATAACTAAAACATGATGATTGGGTTGTGTGGCTGTGCCATTTCCTGATGAGTCAGCCTGCAGTGGGAGGCTAACTGTTCCACTCATTAAATAACTTTTACACTCACCCCACAGTACTACAGATGTTCAAACTTTGCCTAATTGACAGCAATAGCTTTCCTCTTTTGTCAGATTTCTTTGTGCCATTTTGGCTTTTAGGCCATTTGTTTTTCATTTTTTTAGTGATTGAGACACCAAGGGCTGGATTCCCAGACACAGATTAAGCCTAGTAAAAAAAAAATGTCAATGGAGATTCACCATTGACACTGCTACCTAGTCCAAGACTAGGCTTAATCAGTGTCTGTGAAACCGGCCCATAGATGCTCTACTGATTTACTGACGTCGCGTGAATGACCTTTCCAGTCTGTATGGCCTGCTGCAGAATAAATTACAACTGTTTATTCAGGTCAAATGTCAATTTCCCCCTCCTTTCCAACTGATCCTCTCCTGATGTGTACACACAGTTCAAGGTGGCTGGATGATGCGCCCTATTTAAAATGGTAAAATCTTTGAAGAAGAGAGAAAGGTGCTGAATCTTAGATATTGCATGTTTTCATTAAGAAAATATCTACATTAGTTAGTATAATTCAGTAGACCTAAATGTTGGCCAAGATTCTCCAGTGTCGCAGTATTGGATCTCATCTGACCATCAACAGAGAGGATGAAATCTGTGTTTTATTGCTGCAAACATTCTTGATATTTATGAGATCCAACTGAAAAACCAATTTAATTCAAGCGTGACGACCAGTCTTAGAGGCTCAGTTTAGATCTGAATTGTGAGTACCCCATGAGAAAAGCAAGCTTGGGAAGCTTGTAAGAAGCAGGTGTTTTTTGTTTGAAGCCTTTTGTCCCTCTCCTCCTCTCCAAAAGAGGATTAAGTCAGAGGCCACTGTCGCACATATGAGTTGCCTCATGTTAACCATCTGGTTTTCATGAATGAATACAATTATTTTGCAGTAAATGTATTATTAATAATAACATTTGTACAGCAGTTATTAGGCTATTGCAATTTTGCTTATGAAAAATAAAGCATTTTGTGATTATAAATATTACAAAAATAGATTTCTGATAGCATGTAGGATACATAATTGCTGTTTTCCCCTATCCAAATATCATCCTTATTTACAAAAACCTGATGAAAGTATCGTTGTTGCCCCTTGGCCTCTGTGTGATTCCCATATTTCTCCACTAGGCGGCTCTCTGGCTCCATTTGTCTGCGCCGCGCGCGACTCGGAACTACAGTGAAGGACTGCGTTCAGGCTATCCAACTCCACCGTTAAGCAAGGCTATCCATGCTCGACTGAATTTGCGTGCGATAGCTTGACGGTCGTAGAGAAGTGGGAGACAACACAAGAGCATCATTGGATGACAGACATCACAGTATTCCGTCGCATCCGCAATTTGCGCCCAGAGAAAACACTTTTCGTCAACGTTTACCATCGCCCCTTGGGTAAACAAATCATTGTTTTTCATTTCGATTGTAGGAATGGGGTAGCTACTTCTTTTTCTAGCTGCAGATGTTGGCGTCCGCTCTTCGCCTGGTAAGGGTTGGGAGTTTACATTTCACACATCAAAAATGCTACCTAGCAAAGCTAACGTAGCTTGCTAAAGATAACGCACTAGCTACATTCCAATGGCGTAACTACCATACACAATTCAAATGTCCTTTTTTGTTTTAAATACTTATGTTATTCCATGTTAGCTGTCTTCTAGATTTTTTTTTTACAGGTTTGCATGTTCCTGCTTGCAATTTCTGTTAACTCATCTTAGCTAGCTAGCGGATAACGAACCAACTAACTGTCACCTGAAGAGTGGGATGAGATGAAGTCGGAGATCTTTTGGTGAGTGGTGTCGTGTGCTTCACTAGCCACATAGCTAGGTGTACCACGGGCACGAGCAATCAGTGTCATTGATCTTGTGCTGCTGCCTTGCCCACCAGGCCCACAGGGTCTCTTGGCTCAGATGTCCATGGCTGGGGTCAATTCTATTTCAATGTCAGGTGCATACCATCACCTATTTTACATTTACATTTACATCATTTAGCAGACGCTCTTATCCAGAGCGACTTACAAATTGGTATCATGTTATCTCTGGTCAGCTTATTTTTGTCATTTCTTTTTTCCCTATTATTGTATTGCATTTTTGTGTTTCATAAAAACACTATAGAAATCTTATGATGTAGGCTATAGTATTTAATTGATTACAAATGACAAATTATTATATTTACCTTGCTAGTGCACAAGATCACAGCATAATTTAGAGGTGGTGTACTGTGTTGGCATATGTGTAGAGAATAGTAGAACTCAGAGTCATATATGGAGTCATATATATATATATATATGTGTGTGAGAGAGCGAGTTAGGCCAGGTTTTAGAATGGCCGCCTTTCTTGTAATTTTTTTGGTACCTTTGCCCCATTTTCTCCCCAATTTCGTGATGTCCAATTGGTAGTTACAGTCTTGTCCCATCGCTGCAACTCCCCTACGGACTCAGGAGAGGCGACGGTCGAGAGCAATGCGTCCACCGAAACACGGCCCTGCCAAGCCACACTGCTTCTTGACACACTGCTCGCTTAACCCGGAAGCCAGCCGCACCAATGTGTCGGAGGAAACACCATCCAGCTGGCGACCGAAGTCAGCTCGCAGGCGCCCGGCCCACCACAAGGAGTCGCTAGAGCGCGATGGGACAAGGAAATCCCGGCCGGCCAAACCCTCCCCTAACCCGGACGACGCTGGGCCAATTGTGCGCCGCCTTGTGGGTCTCCCG